GGTTTCAATGCGCGATTTCGCAAGACATTTTGGAATTTGAACGACTTTTTTGCGGTGTTGTACGAGCTTTACGAGTTTTCCTCAAGTTTCTCAAGCAAAATGACCGGCGGTTGGCGCTAATGAGATGCAGAGGCGATCCCGTAATCTTCGAAATGCGCTAAAATGGCGCGTTTAGATAGAAACATGGTTTAGAAGATTGTTGCAAACTGGCCGTTTCAAGGATTTTCGAATGGTGTCAATATCATTTCGGTCCGATAGTTCTGCTTCGAGTTAGATGGGGGCGTTTTTGATTGGGACACTCTGTATTTGACGATTTTGGGTTTGTTCGCACCATACACATTTTTGATCGGTCAACTGTTGCGCATTTCCACCTTTTTCGTGCCTTGCGACGTTTGCGTAACTATTTATCACCACCGAACAGGCAGTGGGCCGAGAATGGACCGAGAATGGCATAGCACTTGGTGTTGCGAGCGCAACAATACTCGTCCCATTTGCATGGCTGCGTGCCGCATAGCTTCGCGCACTGAAAGTTTCGCGATTAATATCGTACCAGGGTTGAAAAACCGCTTCGCGGCTTTTCAACCCTGGCCCCGTCTTCTCCAATGATATTCTTGGCTTTGCATAATTTTCCCGGATTCGGATGACGAAAAATGAAAAATGCTCTTGCTGTCCCTTTATATAGGCTACCGCGACTTCCGGTGCATGCTAATTTGATCCTAACAAATTGGGGTGTCCGATTTTCCATGAAAAACTTAATTTTAATGTCGAAAACACCATATTTTGTAAAATATAATATGTGTGCAGTCATCTCCAGCCCATTGCGCACCGAATGACGTATCGAACATACCCCTAAGTACTTCCCTTCTTGAGATACTACTGGAACACGGTGACGGAAGTTGCATGCAAATGCACACACACACACAGACACTATTTTTTTTATATACAGGGTGTCCCAAAAAAAACGAACCATCTGGCATTTCGCCGTGTTACATCCAACCGGTCCCAAATTTGGACCAGAGGTGTATCAGACCCTAAATAACAACAATCCTGACTTTTAGCCCCGTAGCTACAGTAGTTCTCGAGTTATAACGAAAATACTGCTTTTCCCGGAATTCTGAACAGTTTTTTCGGCTATCTTTTTGGACTTTGCATCGATTTGCATCGACTTCCGGCTGCGAATCCCTAATTTCGCTTAAGAACCTGGGTAATTTTGGTTGCGTTACAAAATCGCTTAAATCGAAGATTATTGATTAATTTTACCTGGAAAAAATTCCTTAAGGTAAAGGACGCCTTCCGGGTCATTTTCATTTAATGTTTAGAGGGTCTAATTCGACGAAAACCCTATGAAAAATAGAAAATAAAGTTTGTTTTTGCCATAGCTCGAGAACGACTGTAGCTACGGGGCTAAAAGTCAGGATTGTTGTTATTTAGGGTATGATACACCTCTGGTCCAAATTTGGAATCGATTGGATGTAACACGGCGAAATGCCAGATGGTTCCTTTTTTTGGGACACCCTGTATACAGGGTGTCCCAAAAAAAAACCCCCCCTACCTAGCGGTCCGCAGTCAAGTCCGATTTTTATGATTTAACTACCCATCGATAGCTCTCGAAAAGGCGAGAAAACAAGCGGGTCTCGTTTTCTAAGATTTAATCTAATTCCATCGATATTTAAGGTTTTTCTAAAAAAACTGGTACTTTTTCAACAGGAATTTCGCAATTAGCATGCAGATCCTGCACAAATTAGCAGTTTTCATGGTTTTTGGACGTAAAATTAACGAATAAAAATGCATAATAAAGAAAATGAACCCTCCTTGTTTTCTCGCCTTTTCGGGAGCTTTCGATAGATACCTAAATCGTAAAAATCGGAATCGACTGCGGACCGCTAGGCAGGGGGGGGGGGGTTTTTTGGGACACCCTGTATTTATCGTATAGGGTGTTCCAAAAAAAATCATCCCCTCTGTCCGGCGGCAGTAGTGGCACTCGAAAATGCGAGCCCTGCACGACACTCCGATTTCCGAACCTTCGGAATTTTTTTTGCTCGTTTTTAAGCGTTTTTCATGCAAAAAAGACACGCTTTTTTTATCAAAAACTAAATTTAACCGGCTTAAGCGCGATCCAAGGTGTGTTTTCGCAAACGGGTTTCAAGGTCTTTGGGTTGCCAGGACAGCGCGAAAATCTTTGAATCGCGATCTTGGAAAAACCCTTTTGGTCATAATATCGGCCCGTTTCGCTAAAATATTGTCCTATCCAATAAGCGAGAAAAGTATGTTTGTTTTCTGTACAGCCGATTTCTCGGCGCCTAAAGATTAATAAATATAGATAAATTAGCCCGAAGCCGAATTTCGAGCTAATTTTTGGCATGGAGGTGGAGAAACACATTTGTCGGTGATGCATTTTTTGACAAGATCCCTTCATTTAGCGATTTTACAACAAAAATAGTGAAAAACCCTTAACATTTTGCCAAAAAAAGGTATGTCCGGAGGTTTTCTCGGCCGCCAAGAGGAGTTAGGCTCTGATTTTTGGAGGGTGGCTAGTAAACGCAATTCTCCCGATACCATTTTTTTGGATTTTGAGAAATTTCTGAAAATAATGTCTTTATGACCATTTTTCTGAAAGCTCCTTAATAAATCGCGCCACAAACCGTGGTGTCCAGGCCGTAACTCGAATCCCAGATGGAATTTCGGGCTTGGAGTACTTATGTATTCGATGGCGCTTTTTAGGCGCAGCTTATTAGTTTTTAGAGATGCCATAATATTCCGGCTGAAAACGCTATTTGGTAAAATGTCCTGAAGGTCTCCGTCTCTCCGGTCAACGGGGCCGTTCATTCGTCGCCACTGCTTGGCTCGCCCCCATGCTATCAAGAGACGAGGTCTCAAGCCTCACCCCCACCTCAGTTACCGTAGCGGCTACGGCGATCAGGAGAAGGATATAGAGAATGGAGCGCATGTTGAATGGCGGCTCGCAGCGCGTTGTCTCGGGTTTTAAGGGTATCTGGCCCCTGCCACCCACGCTTCATCATGTTTTCTGGAAGCTGTCGATGTCGAGGCGATTCGCATGTCTTATTCAAGGAAGCGGAGGCCTTCAAAGGGCCTAAAGCAAAAATACCACCACCAAAAAGCCTGGTGGGTTTGATCTTGGACCTCGAAATTCCTAAAAGTAGGATAACGCGGGGCGGGGGCGGGGGCGGGGGCGGGGGCGTACTCAAAGTTTTTGATAATAAAAATGTTCTTAAATATGTTTTTTCGGGCTATAGAAAAATTTACCGTATATTTTTCGGCCCTCTATTCATCGCATTTTCAAAATATCGAAAATGTTCGGAACGCCGAAACCTTCCCCCCGCCTCGTATTATCCTATTTGCTGCCCATATTTTCGTTTTAGTTTTCAGTTTGAAACGCTAGTTTTTAGGCAATAAATTTCCGTAGTACGTTTTTGGTGCTGTATCTATTGGTATATTTTTTGACGTTCTACCGTGTGCATTTCTAAGATATCCCAAATCTCAAAAATTGTCCCCCCTCTCCGTTATCCTATGTTCTTGCCATCGATTTTAATCATTTCTTCTTTATTCAAGAAAAAATTCCCATTATATTTTTCGGGCTGAAATTAGTTCCGTTAGCATATTTTTTGGACGCTCTATCGACAGGGCCTCGCGAAATCCCACAGTAATTTAAAATAACGATGAGTAATTCCTTTTTCGTTTTTTTTTATTTTGAATAGCCGCTTTTGTTCTAGTCTGACGGCGCTTGCATAGCCATTTATCATCGAACGGTTCAGCCGGCATTAGCAGAGCATTCCGCGGCATTGGCCCAGTCCACAGGACTCAGGCATCTCAGTAGGGAAGGGCAGCAACTTTCGTACCAAGCGCATACCTCCGTCCCACATCGCCCACCGCACTGGAAATTTCGCCATTAGTCGTATATATTAGGTTGTAGAATAGGTCATTGCCGTTTTCGCTTTCGGACTTTTTTCAACAACGATAACATACATTTAGGATTTTAATGCGATTTATCGTTTGAAAGAGCATTCGATGCTCTACAAGATAGCGACGCTCGTATTACTATTACAATTTAGTTAGATTTTTGCAGGGCTAGAAAGAGAGGGCAAAAAAAAGGTCTATTTTTTTCTTTCAAACCTATGCCTAAACCGTGTAGATCTTACTGGTTTCCTTATTGTTGCCTGTTGCATGCGCGAGTCTGGTGGGGGATTTCTCATGCAGCGGCCTGACCGCGAAGCGGGTTTTGGGCGCTGTTGGTTGGATAAGTCTGATCCGACGTCGATACCTCTCGTCTCACCAACCTCAACTACCGTAACGGCGACGGTGATCAGGAGCAGGATATAGCGAATGGAGCGCATGTTGAATGGCGGCTCACAGTGGGTTGTCTCCGGTTTTAACGGGATCGCACTTTTGCCACCCAGCTTCATCCTGTTTTTTTGTCCGGAAGCTTGCGATGTTCCATGCCTTATTCAAGGAAGCGGAGGTCTGCAAAGGACCTAAAGCAAAGATACCGCCACCAAAAAGCCTCGTGTCTTTGATCTTGGAGCGGCAGAAAAAAAACATCGATTTTGCTCCGAAACTTTTCTTTTTGCAAAGAATTCGCGTTTTTTCCAGCAACAAAATAAGTATACAGTATCCATTCGTTTTCTCGACAAATAGGTCCGAATCCCGAAAACCCAGATTTAGACTTTCTAACCCCTTTAAAAAGCTGGTTTTGAGATAGTTTTCTGCGATTTTTGAAAATTTAAAGAGATTCGGAAAGTAAAAATTGGTTCTTTCGCATTCTCGGGGGAGGGGGCATTCTAAAATTTGTATTAGAAATACAAAAATAAACTATTTTTCGACAGAAAATGGTCGTTTTTTACTATCATCTCGCCTTTTTGAATTGAACATTTGAAAATTTGCTCAAATTTTGGCTACAATTTGCTGAGATTTTCCGAGTTTTTGTCATGTTTTGAGGATCCGAATTTTCGATATTCGGCCCATCTAAAGCCCTCTCCTTCCAGACGTTGCTGTTCATCTTCATCGCCGTCCACTTCTTCTTGCTGGACGTCGGCCAGGATTCCGTGCTCATCCACTGCGTCGAGGATGACGAGGTCAGTTTTTGGATATTTTGCCAAATTCGCGAACCTCCTTCGAAAAGTATCATACTTTCGAAATGTCGTAGATGATCGTCTTTTTCTAGCAAACCCGAATCTCGGCCTTCATCATGTCGATCGTGACCATCATCCTCGACGTGTTCACCCTCGTCGGCGTTGTATTTTTGTGGGTATCGACACGGAGAAAGTTGAGGTGAGCTAAGATAAGGAATTTGCTGTTTAGAAAACATTCTATTATTCAAAACTCTTGTTTTTTAGGTTCTTTGGCATTATCGGGGGGGGGGGGTCTCAGGCGGAAAAATTTGTTATCAATCTTGTAATGCCTAGTAACTTAATAGTAAGTATTTTCATAATGTTTTAGTAAAATACGACTATATTTTAACTCGAAAACCATCTAAAAACTTTGAAAAATTTTAAAAGTTTAAATCTTGGTCAAAAACGGCCGTTTTTAATCGAAAAATCAGTATTATTGTATAGTTAATACACGTTTTTAACCCCCGATAATGCGAAAGAACCGATATCTACCTTCCGAATCTCTTTAAAGTTTGAAAAATCGCCCAGAACTACCTCAAAACAAGCATATTTGAAGATTACCGACCATGGCCGTGAACGCGCGCTTCCAGCTGCGACTTTCTCTGACGGGTACGTGAAATAACGCTATTTTCTGGGTTTCTAGCTTGTAGTTTAGCGTAACTTCACCAGTTTGTAAATCACTACTACTTGAATTTTACTTGTAGTTTAGCGTATCATTTTCAAAAAACCGAATTTCAGTGCTGTACGCCTTCGGCCCGATGGTGATCATGCACTCGTTTTTCCTGGTGGAGTACAACGTACTTTACGGCCTTCTGCGTCTCGACCCCACGATAACGCTCCGGACGTCAAAGATGTGGCAGGGGATCCTGACGGTGGGTCTCAGCTGCAAGAGGCAGTCATTAAAGGGGCTTGGAAGTCAAAATTCTCGCATGCGAGGGTTGAAACTACGGGTCAAAAACGAAACGTTTGCTGCCGAGAAGTATCGGCAAAGTGATTGTTGCGAAAAACTCAAAAATATTTGAGTAAAACCAAAACGTTCTCCGGCCGAAAAGGGCTTTTTGAGTGGGCGGCGATTACATGTCGTAATGCCTTGTAAGGCACCCAATCTCACGATCACGGCGATTCTCTAGTCAATTTTCATAATTAAAAGATCTATGTTGATCAAAATTAGCTGAGGATTATAGAAATAGGTTCAGAATTTTGAAATTCTAGCGTTTTCACTTCCAAATGGGGGCAAAAGATCATGCGGCGCGATCGCGTTGTGGTCCCATCTGGCTATTTGCCAGGAATCAAAGCAAGGGGCCGTGGACGAGATTTCCGAGCCCCTTTAAAAAATAATTCTAAGCCAAAATGCAAAGCTGAACCAAACTCATCGACCCTGTTCAGCTAACGCCTCTTTACACCGTACTGTCGCCGATTATGGTCCGCTACTTCCTGCGGCGCAGCAAAGAAAAGGTAAGCAAAATATCTAAAACTAAACAAAAGCATCCACTATAATAAAAAAGTAGTGGTGTCCGTCTGTCAGGTCCCGAATTCAACTCGAAGGGGAAAGGAGCTAGAGCTTAGCTCTCTTCGGATTCGGATAGAGCGTGGTCAGAAACCCCCAAACTGATCAAAAAATTACAAAAAAGTTTTTGTTTACATTATTAAAATTAACTTTGAAAGTTTTTTCCTTAGTAAAAGGGGTGGGGGCCCTTCTCCCGGGAGGCCACGCCCCCTTTCCCTTCGTCCGTCTTACCCAGGCACCTTCCCGCGTCCAAATAGCTTTTTAAGTTACTTTAATAATTTTAATAGTTTTTAATTATGTTAATTTATTATTTAAATCATTTAAAGTATCGGGATGAAATCTAAGTAGTTTTTGAAGGGGATTTCGGCTATGGGGGGTATTGTTGGAGGTGGGAAAGGATGTGGTGGAGTGAGACATGTAGGGTAGCCCGAAGGCCAGATGGTTGCAGTCGCGAAGCGACTGTAACCATCTGGTAATTACTAATTTACCCTTGATTTTAGGCGAAATCGCGAAATAAACCGAAAAATGCGGCCGGGTGGCGGCAAAGACTCGGTCACTTCCTTGGCGGTGCACTTCGAAGAACTCCGAAAAACCTGGGATCCCCCACAACAACAACCGAAAAGAACGATCTTCAGCCTGAACTCGTCGCGGAATAATCGGGTGCTGCATTTCTCCAAATATTGAGGAAATAAAAGGTAGAAAAAGCAGCCGCAAGCTTTCCATCGATTGATTTCGACACAAATTTTCGAAATTTCGAAAATCAACTTTTTTTTCAAAAGCAGTTTTTCGGGTTCTTTCCCATTATCGGGGGGACCGGCTTTTTTCTTGGGAGTCCAGAAACGCATAGGTTTTAGTAAAACTCAACGCTATTTTAAATGAAAACAAGCAAAAAAAACTTTGAATAATTTTTAGATATTTTGGTCGAAAATCGGCCATTTTGGTCGAGAAATCAATTTTTTCAAATTTTTTAACCAAAATTTGTAAAGTTAATAGCAAACAACAGTTTAGAAACACTTCTTCTAAATCTTTGAAAAATTGCATCTTGGGAAACAAAGCTGGTTCACCTCCGCTAATGCGAAAGAACCGTGTTTCGAAATTCCTATTTTTAAAAGCCATTTCGTCGAAAGCTGAACCTGGAAAGATGAACGTTTAAAACTGTGCTTTTCGCGAATATGATCGTCCGCCACACACCTTCTAAAAAGTATTATTTCCAAAAACCAGCCCAAAAACCTTGTAATGTCACAGTGTAGAGAGCAAAAAAAGGGTACAAATGGGGTATCACAGCCAATGTAAGACACATAAAAATACACACAAACAGAAATGAAGTTAAGCAGCGAAAAATGTGGAGCAATTCGGTATTTTTGGTCAAGGGACTTAATTAGCTTGATTTTGTCGAGAATTGAAATGCCGAAATTGTCGAAAAAATGCAATTTGTCGAAAATCACGTAGTCGACATTTTATTTTGTCCTTTTTGGCAATTTTGTCGAAAATTTAAAATCGAAAAATCGACAACAAAATCGGAGTCGAAAAATTTCGACAAATTGGATTTCGGTATTCTTTCGAATTTTCGGTATTTCTAATTTTTCAAATTCCTATACAAAGTCCTAAGAAGGGGCCATTTCTATAGAGATCACAATGAGCGATAAAGTCGAGGGCTATTAATTAGAAACTGGAAATCGTGCAAAATCGAGGAAAATTGAGAAGAAAACGAAAATAACTTATTCAAGATGCGGTCGTTCCTCGAGCAGCTGGGCGCATTTTCGGGGGAACCAGCCCTTCGCCTCGGTGCCCTGCCGGAACCCGTACAGCCATCTCTGAAAGAAAATCAGAATTGGCTCTTTTCTGTTATCGGGGGGATTTTCGTATAAGCCCAGAAATTCCTATCCAATGTAACAGCCCGCCGTTTAATAGCGTTTTTTAACCGAATTTAGCCATTTTTCGAGTGAAATGAACCTAGAAAACTGTTTAAATCTTTAAAAGTTCAAATTTTCTTCAGAAACCCGCTGATTTGGCCGAAATATCGATTTTTATGGGTTTTTTCATACCATTTAAAAACGTTTAAACGTTCCGGAAGAAGAAATCTCGAGTTTTGAAGGACAAATCTATTTTTGGGGGTTTTTTTATAACAATCTTTGTTTTATTTTTGTTTAGGGGTCTGCTAGACGTTTAGAAAGAGTACAAGAAACCTACAAAACTAATTACTTTAATTTTCGAGAAAAATGGAATCTTCGAAACAGCTCCCCTTCCCCGATAATGCAAAAGAAATTCCGTACCTTATTCCCGCCGGTGACAATCCATTTCTCGCCCTCTTCGACCTGAAGCCGTGGCTGATCGGACATCGGCTGGCAGATGCAGGCCCCCGGATTTGTGCAGAGGGATCTAGATTTTAAAATCTGAGAAGTTTGTAAAATCCCCTACCCACAAAAACCGGCACTACAGCGCTTGACGATGTTTACGTAGCGCGCGTGGCTGCGCTTCAGCTTCTTCTGGCGTAGTTGTTCTTCCTAGGATTTGCAAAATAGAAAAATTCGCCCAAAACGCACCGAAAACGTGAACTGCGTGCAATCGCCGCGAATTGGCCACCAGATCCCGGAGCCCTTCGCCCGGCCCTTGAAGTTGGAGAGCACCTAGAAAAACCGGCTTTCAAAAAACTTCAAAATTCAAACCTCAGAAATATTCCGGCGGAAATGTAGATCATACGGGTAGACAAAGTTGATCCCGCGATACCCCTCATCACTCATTCGAGCCTGCGCCTTGTCATCTAAACAAAATTCCTTGAAAAATCGAAAAATTCTTACAAATATATTCCTCGACGCCGGTCTTGTTGTAGAGGATGTACTTGGCCTGGAAGAAGAGGAGGCAGGTCAACGCCACGGTGACGCCCATGGCCAACGCCAGCGCCGAGACAACCACTAAAAAAAGTCATTCCAGGATTACAGAAACCAAAACGTACCCAAAAGCGTCGTAAACGTCATCTCAATAATTGGCTCCGTGCCGTCCCCGAATCGGATATACCACGACTGAAATAAATGGCGTTTCTTATGTCTCTAGATGAAAGATATTTTTTTCGATTTGCGCTAGCCTGCTCGATAAAGTTTGAAATTCTGCAAAAAGTTGAATGTATCAAAAACGGTTGACTGGCAATGACCTTCCTCAAAAAATTTGGCCAAGTTATGGACGAAAAAGCGGGGAAAACGCATCATGAGAGCGGAATTTCCCAAAAACCGTTTTGGCTCAGCATTTTGCACACATTCCCAAATTCAGAATTTTCAGCTCATTCGAGTGAGCTACTTCGCATAGCCAAGCCCAAATACAGGCTTAGAAAACCCACAATATGAATAGCGTGATAGATGGAAAGCCCGAGAATCGCCGTCGCATGCGAGCAGCCGATCACGGCAGCCAGCAAGAATCGAACGAAGAACGCTGATTCCGGTGGCCCACACAGTTGTTGATCCACACTAAAGAGGAATTTGGAAGAAATTTGGCGATTCTTACAGCAATGATGGTCCATCTTCATCACACAACGGCCGCACTTGCTGCAGTGATGCGAGCGGGGTGGCTTGAAGCCGTCGCAAACTTTGCACCATTGCAATCGATTCACGACGTCGCCTTCGATCTGGAAAAAGAGCGTTTAAAACGTATTTTTATCGCAAAAAAAAACGATTTTTATCGAAAAGTTGAAGATACAAAGCGGATACGAGGGACCGAGTTTTATGGTTCTCACCTCAGAGAAGCTTTTTCTTGTCGAAAAAGGTATTTTTATGCATTTCCGTCTATTTTTTTAGCAAATGAACTACATTTTGAGCATTTATGACGATCTTGAACTGGTTCCGACAAGGAAAATCACTTTTCGAACAGCCGGAGGTTAAAAAGAAACCAAGTCAAGTTAAATTATTCACCGGGATCGACGCATCCGGCTTCCACTTCTTCGGGATGTAGCCACCGCCCACGTATGTTGCCAACAAAAAGTTGTTCAAAGTAGCGTAGGTCCAGGCGAGGAATAACTAAAATAAAAGCTCATATAAAGCTACGCAATGTATCCAACTTCGCTGGTTTAAAAATGTATAAACCCACCACAAAATGCGCCACCCCGCCCAGCGTGTCCAACGGCCACCACATCGAATGCATGTAGACGGTGACGACTCCTATCTGAAAAAGAAGCTTTCATCCGGCCTTAGAAAACCTACATAAAGCACAATCGAGAGCGCGACGATAGGGCCAACGGCTCGAAGTCGGCGTAGAATTGGCTGTCCAACGTCGCGTACTTGTTCATCTGCAAAAATATTCAATTCAATTGTATTTGTACTGCGTTTTTGAAAGTGTTTCCTAGTTTCCGATAGCGAAAGTGTTGGTGACGCTAGCGAAAAACATTTTTAAAGAAAGAAAAATGACATTTTCTGACCTGTTAGATGGTTTTTGGCCAGTAAAGGCCATTTACTAAGGTTGACAACGCTTTCAAATACATTTTTATCCTCAAAAACTTGCTAGAATTACGTTAACCCTAGTGTTGCTCTCATTAGTTGGTCGACACGGTGCTGTGGGGGAAAAGCGGATTTTGGCGCCCAGATGATGATCCAGAACCCTCAATTCTTACCAGATATTGAGCTCGGCCAGTCGGGAGCCTCTTGGATGCCGACCTGAATTTGATAATAAGCATTAAATAGTTTAAAATACCATCCAAACGGGCGGAATAACGGGCGGCTGTAATGACTCCTCCTCTTCATTCTCGTCGCCCTCGTCCTGTGAAGAGATCTCGGGCTCTTCCTTGGCGCTGGCATGGTGGCGTCGCCGCAGCTCTTCGCCCTCGCGATCCTGCAAAAAAATCGGGGTTCTAACACTTTATAAAGCAGATTTTAGCAGTAGTCTATGTTTTTCGGCAAATAAAGCACCTGCAGCATCCTTCTGACCGATGGAAGCGATTCTGCGACGATCACCGCCCTCGAAATGGCCCCTGAAAAATATAATATAACGAAAATTTTGCTAAAAACTATTCAGAAAGGACTAAAAATCTTTTAAAAAGTAATGAAAAGTTGAAATGCCCAAAATCAGGAAGTGAAACAGTCCGTAGCTGTACTACTGTCGTAGCTACATGCTGCTACGCTTACATTTCAGCGCGAAAACCCGAGTTTTTCAAATTCAAAAAATTTATTGATTCCGGATATTTATTATAAAACTTTTTATAAATAAAAATAGCAATAAATTATAAAGAAAAACTGCTATGAAGAAAGGGGTTGTTCAGGGAAAAAGCCGTGGGCTAGTCTTATGCGGTGAAATTAGCGAATTCTAAAACACCCGTGGCTACAAACCGCGTATTTTCATATTTATAGCAAGAAAAATTTTATAATTTATATAGAAGTAGCATGTGTGTGACGTTTTAGCTATGGATTTCACCAGGCCTGGACGAACGGCGGGCCGGCCCGGGCCGAGAAAAATCGGCGTTTTTCAGGCCGGGCCGGGCCGGGCCGAGAAATTGAAAAATGCCGGGCCGGGCCGGGCCGGCCCGGGAGTTTTTACATAGTCTAAAAATACCTTTTTTGGAGGGAAATTGGGACTTATTTTGCATATTTTCGTTTACGAATAGTCGATTTGGCGTTATTATACAGCCTCAATAAAAATTTGGTCCTTTTCTTGACTAATTCCCTACCAGGAAATCGGTCCAGGTTCGACCCCGCCCGGCGTCTTTTTTGCTTTTTGAATTTCTATGTCAGCGCGACCGGATTTTTTCTTAGATGTATCAGTATGTATCGTAGTACTAAACTAAGACCCAAAATATATATTAATATGGCGAATTTAAACTCGAAACGGCTTAATTTAACATTATTACCCTGATATCGGTCGATATTTAGCTCTTAAAAATTGTTATAACTTTGAAATTTAAATGTTATTAAGAGAACTGCTGCAAAAATGGTCCACTAATACCGTATTAACAGCAAAATACCTTGCAATGGTGTTAAACCAGCTTGGCGGGAGTTTTTTTTGGCCAACCCCGTATTTGACCCTTAAAAGTCGGGCCGGCCCGGCCCGGCCCGGCCCGGGCCGGGCCGGGCTCGGGCCGAGAAAAATCGCTTCGGGCCGGGCCGGGCCGGGCCGGCAGCTAAATCGCGGGCCGGGCCGGGCCGGCCCGGCCCGGCCCCCGTCCAGGCCTGGATTTCACCTCTAGTTCAATGCTAGGGAATGAAAAGATCAAATTCTGAAGCCCGCTTGGCTTCATCGCTAAGCTTTTGTCACCCTCAGGCCACGCTGCTACCTTTCTATTCATGTTCCCATCACAACCTCTTATCCTTGTTTGCCCGGGTCCCCCAACGACTCTCCTTCTACGATCCTCTCGACTACAGCTGTGGTAGGGCTGGCCAAGCGCCGAAGAGACCCTTTTCCCCTCTTTCCCCGCCAATGGATTGCCCCCGAGCCTCCCGCCATCCAAAGCATCCTCTTACAGCTGATACAATTGCATGGCTTTTTGGCCTCCTTTTCCCGCCGCTTTTCCCTCTCAGGCTGGATTTTGAGTCATGTAGCACTAGTTTTTAACCACATTTTTCAAAACGCTTACCCACGATTGCTGTAGCCTCTTTCAGATGATACAATTTTGCCGGGATCAGGGCTCTAGAGAGTTCTTACTCGTTCAAAAGTAGTGGAACGGGTTTTGTTATCGTGTTGCTGCTGATACAGTCTCGTCAATCTTTTTTGTTTCCTTTTCCCGCCGCTTTTCCCGCGTGGGGTCGATTTTGAAGTAATATTTATCGAGCCCTCAGCGCGTATTTTTTCAAAACTCATGCCCAGCGAATTCTTACGATCGTTCAAATGTGGTGGATCAAGGTTTGCCATCCGGTTACAGCTGGCACAGTTTAGCCAAGCTTTCTGTTTTGCTTTCGCGCGGCTTTTTTTATCTTGGAGTGTGGGCTCCTCTTTTGCGTTTGGGGGTTTATTTTTCCCGGGCGTTTGTGAATTTGGGCTGGTAGTCGACGCCGAATATTTCAAATGGCCTGTCGAGGGCGGTTCGAAATCGATCAAACTGTGCTACCTCTTTAATTCTGGATCGGCCGGGCAACGTTGACTTACTTTCCCTTTGTTCACGTAGAAACTCTATAGCACATTCCGACCATCTGGGTTTTGTATTTTTTTTGGTACAATTCGGATAAGCGGGGGAAAATTTTAGGCGGGGGGGAAACCAACTTTTTTTTTTGTCGGCCCTGGTGGGGATAGTAATCAAATATAAAGTTTTTTAACATTGTTTTTAGCAAAATTTAAGCCTATTTGAATCGGAAAAACTTTTTAAAAAGTTAGAAAAACGCTTGAAAAAGTCGAAAATTTGGTCATTTTTGGGCCGAAAAAATCGATTTTTCGACCTAAAATTAAATTTTTTAATTCAGTTTTGTAAAGTTTTATGTTTAGGAATAGCTATAAACAATTTAGAAACACTTCCACTATTTCTATAAAAATATAGGCTTGCGCGGAAAAAATTTCGGTTTCCCCGCCTAAAATTTTCCCCCCCGCTTATCCGAATTGTACCTTTTTTTTTGTGTAGAGAAAGGTCAGCCAAAATATCGCCCAGAAATGCCAAATATTAGAAGTCGTTTAGGGTTTTCCAACATCCTTTTGTATTTTTTGGGGGAATTATGACGGGTTCTTTTTGCTCATTGTTTTCCAGCAGCTCTGCAGTTTTTTCTCTTTCTCTTTCAATATTTCTACTTGCAGATGGACGAAAGCTTCGTCGATACTCGACGAAGAAGGGACCGAAAGGCCCCAGGTTAGAATCGCTGACTCAAATAAAACTATCTTCGTTTAGTCCACACTCCTCCAGAAGAAGAGGAGGAAGAGGAAGGCCGTCTTTTCGATACCGACGAGGAATATGAGTCACCAAAGGTGAATTTCTTATTATGTGTCAAATGAACCCCTAGAAGAAATCGAAAAACGACAGAGAGGCTGGACAGGAGTCGCCGTCGGGCTCTCGTGATGCTGCTCCGAGTGATTTTACCTCTTCGGTACTAATTTCTTTATTTTTAGAAGGAGGAGTGAAGGGCGACAACACGGCCAAAATGAAGCGCTGCATGGAGCTGTTCAAGAAGTACCACCAGAAGCGCGGCTACGACCACTTTGGCCACTCGGTCATCGAGGAGATCCGCGGCCACGACGCCGACTACCAGTCATTGACGGTGCGTTTAAAAGAAGTTTTATAAAAAACCAAAACTAGTTTGACGTTTTTAAAAGTGTTTAAAAACTTTAAGGCTCAAAAATGTTGACAAAAATGCCATTGTTGGTCGAAAATTCAATGTTTTTGTATTTTATTTACTACAATTTTGTGAAGTTGTGATGTTTTGGCATAGTGGAAAACAGCTTAGAAGTTTATATTTTTATTCGGATTTTAAGGAAATTAAAAAATCGAAAAGGAAGGAAAAGTTTTATCTAATTTTTTTTCAGGAAATGGCCCTCGTTCTGGAGAGCGCCTCTCAAGTCTACAGTTACCGCGTCGAGGCCGCTGTCATCCACTGCAAGCAGGCGCACGACATTTGTGCTGGCGGTTAGGGATTTCTTAATTTCATTTACACTCATTTTTTTTAGCAAAAGTAAAGCCGGCGCCCGGCGAGAAAGACGCCGAGACGGGCGATGCTGCTTCGAAGAAGAAGGCGCGAAAGCATGGTAGCACAGCGCTACTCAGTTTTATAATTAATTGGTTTTAGATGTTGTCGACAACCACCAAGAGCGCATGGCCAAGATTTTTGAAGATATCGGATCGCGTCAAGGAGGCAACAATGTAAGGCTCAAATTTTTCTTGGAAAAATGATGAATTTTTAGGAAGATGAGGAACTTGAAGAGGGCGTCGAGGCCGATGACATTGAAGAGGAGCCGGCCGAGGAGGAATTGGACGATCCGGTCGAAAAACGTGAGGGTTTTCTCTGATATACCGGATTTTCTTTGTTCCGGAATGGTTCTTTCGCATTATCGGGGGATCGAATTTACAAAGCTAATGTTTTTAACACTTAAAAACGTTCCAAATTTCGATTGAAAATACAAAAATTGCGTTTTTTGGAGCGGAAACGGCGGATTTTCCAAAAATGTCACCTAAAATTTTTTCGACGTTTCATTATTTTGCCACTGAAAAAGTTGTTACATTTTTACTAAAACAGGATTAAAAACGTACTGTTTAGATTTCGTACTAGATCTATGGATTTATAAAAAAATTTGTCCCGCCCCCCGATAATGCGAAAGAACCAAGAAAAGTATGGTAAACAGCCGGCGGCCTTTTCCGATATTTTCGGGAAATATTTATGGAATATATTTAGTGATCCGTGTCTGGGACGGCTGGTCCAGCAAGATGGACTTTATGCGACGCCACACCGAGGAGCGCGAGCGGCGCCTCAACGAGCTCCAGCAAAGCCGCTACTATGAGACGGTAAAATTTTCTATTTTTATAAAATACAAATAAATTTCTTTAGAACCCGAAGCTGATCGACGACGCGAGCACGCTGCGCGTTCGGCGCAAGGATTTCCGGCAAAATCCCTACTACGCCATGGCCACCTACAACAAGAACCACGACTACAACAACCGCATCTTCACGCGGAACTGTGTGCAGACTGGCGATGGAAGGTAATGGTTAGAACGCAAAGCTGACAAAAAGGGGGAAAGGACCTTCCCTATAGATTTCCGCCGGAATTTTCGTTCATTTTTTTGTTCAGCTGCAGTCGTCAGCTCTTGAAAAGGCCCGCGTGCTCTCGTATTTTCCAATTTTTTTATTTTTGGTTGATTTACTGCGTTTTTTTGTAGGAAGAAAACTTTGTTGTCGGTGCTGAAAAACACCTCCCCGCTAGCTAAAGTTCCAGAAAAACGCCGGTTTTTTTTTAAATTCGGCGATTACTTCATAACTAAGCTCTCAAAAACGCGCAAAAACCATGTTTTGGAGTT